TTTTTGAAAGCCATTGTTAAGAGAATGAACAGGCAGGCCAGACTGAGAGAAAACATTTACAAAACAATATCTGATAAAGGGCATGTATCCAAAATATATAAAGTGCTCATAAATCTCTAACATTAAGAAAGCAAACACTCCAATTAAATAATGAGCAAATGATCTGAATAGACACTTTGGACAGTTTGGCAGTTTCTTACAAAGCTAAACATAGTATTAACATTGTTAAACAAAAATAATACTAATCCAATAATAGAAATTGAAGTTTATTTAATATACAATTTACAAATTGGGGCAACATTTCCAACTACAAAGTCAAAAATGTTCCAAAGAAGAAAGATCTTTCACAGATTTTTTATACTCCATCTTATTACTAGTAATTATACATTGCCATGGATAAGGGCCAGAATAGAACTGATGAGGCAATTTGTGGTCATAAAGGATTCCATACAGCATTGTCTTGGAAAACAATTAAAATAATTACTGATTGAGTTTAAATCATAGCTTCTAGTCTGTCCTTTGGAATTGTTTGTCAAAACTGCACATAGATAATTCTATAAAAGAACACAATGCCCAAGACAAACATATTTTACTCATTAAGATAAACCAGTTTTCTCAAGACTTAAGGTTAAAAGGTTATCTCAGGGTGACAGTTTGGGTAGTCATTTCAACCTCCATGGAATCTTGAAATCTGAATTTCATGAGAATTTTAAATTCCATTCCTTACCATACTGTCCAGCAATTGTACTCCTAGGCCTTTAACCAGTTGAGTTGAAAACTTACATCCACACAAAAACCTGTATATGAATGTTTAAAGCAGCTTTATTTAGCTAAAATCTGGGAAGTAACCATGATATTCTTCAAAAAGTGAATGAATAAACAAACTGTGATTCATCCATACAATGGATTAGTATTAAGTGATAAAAAGAAATTAGTTATCAAGCTATCAAAAGACATTGTTGTCTGCCATCCCGTCAATTCCAACTCATAGTGACCCTATAGGACAGAGTAGAACTTCCCCATAGGGTTTCCAAGGCTGTAATCTTTACAGGAGAATATCACCAGGTCTTTCTTCTAAAGAGCTGCCAGTGGGTTCAAACTGCTGACCTTTCAATTAGCAGCTAAGCATTTAACCACTGCACTACCAGGATTTAAGACATAGATCCAAACCTGTTGCCGTCGAGTCAATTCTGACTCATAGGGACCTTATAGGACAGAGTAGAACTGCCCCATAGGGCTTCCAAGGAGTACCTGCTGGATTTGAACTGCTAATCTTTTGGTTAGCAGCCCAGCTCTTAACCGCTGCACCACCAGGGCTCTGTAAGGTATAGAGGAACTTTAAATCCATATTGCTAAGTGAAAGAGGGCAGGACAAAAAGGTTACGTACTGTATGATTGTAGAAAAGGCAAAGCTATAGAGACTGTAAAAAGATCACTGGTTGCTAGTGGTTTAGGGGATGGAGGGAGGGATGAACAGGTAAAGCACAGGGCATTTTTAGAGCAATGGAATTATTCTGTATGATACTGTAATGGGGGACACATGATATTATGCAATCATTAAAACCTATAGAACTTTACAACACAAAGAGTAAACCTTAATGTATGCAAATTATAAAAAAGGATTCAGGAAGTCTGGGTATCCCAGGAAAGACATACCTTAACAAATCTGATACAGCTATATATGTATAATGGAATTAAGTAATTAAGTAAATGGATGCTGTTACAGATTGAATTGTGTCTCCCAAAAATGTATTATAAATCCTAACCTTTATGCCTGTGATTACAATCCTATTTGAGAATAGGTTGTCTTTGCTATGTTAATGAACAGGATTAGTGCAGAGTATGTCTTAAATCAATCTCCTTTGAGATATAAAAGAGATTAAATAAGCAAGTGAAAGAAGCAGAGATGGGGGAAGAGAGATACCAAGTCACATGAAGATTGCCCAGGAGCAAAACTCAAAGAGATAAGGACTTTCCTCCAGAGCCAACAGAGAGAGAAAGCCTTCCCCTCCAGCTGGCATCCTGAATTCAGACTTCTAGGCTCCTAAACTGTGAGAAAATAAATTTGTTTGTTTTGCCACCCACTTGTAGTATTTCTGATATAGCAGCACTAGATAATTAAAACAGAATTTGGTAATGAGAAGGGATATGTAACAGATACGTAAAATGTGGAAGCGGTTTTGGAATTACTTAATGGGTAGAGGCTGAAAGAGATTTAAGGTGCCTAATAGTAAAAGCCTAGATTGCCTTGAAGAGTCTGTTGGTGGAATTACAGATGTTAAAGGCAATTCTGTTGAGAGCTCAGAAGGAAGTGAGGAGAGCTATGGAGAAAGTCTCTACTGTTTTAGAGAATACATATGGTGCCAGTAACAGAATGTTGCTAGAAATGTGTATGTCAGATGTGCTTCTGGTGAGACTTTAAAAGAAAATGATGAATATGTGATTGGACAGTGGGGGAAGGGCGATGCTTTCTATGCAGTGGCAAAGAACTTGTCTAAATTATGTTCAAATGTTTCTTGGAAGGTGTCTTAATTATCTAGTGCTGCTATAACAGAAATACGACTGGATGGCTTTAACAAAGAGAAATTTATTCTCTCACAGTCTAGGTGGCTAGAAATCCAAATTCAGGATGCCAGCTCCAGGGGAAGTCTTTCTCTCTGTCAGCTCTGGAGGAAAGTCTTTGTTATCAATCTTCCTCTGGTCTAGGAGATTCTCAGTGCAGGGACCCGGGGACCAACAGATGCACTATTCTCCTGGCTCTTGTTTCTTGGTGATATGAGGTCCTCCTGTCTCTCTGCTGCTGCCATTTCTCTGCTGCTGCTTCTTGCTGTCTGAGGACATCAAAGAAAATTCTAGTGAGGATTCAGAAGGAAGTGAGGAAAGCTGCTACACTGCAGACTGGGCAGATGGCAAGAATCAGCAACAGACAACAGCAGCAGCTGAGAAACGGCAGCAGCAGAACCAGGAGACCAGCACAAGACAGTGCTGGAGCTCACCCACGAAGTGAGAGAGCTGAGTGCTTCCTGGCAGAGTGGGGTGCCTCTGGGCATTTATTAGTGGAGCTATGCTTGCCAACCCATAAAGTAAGAGAGCTGAGTGCACTCTGGCCAAAGTTTACTGGTAGAGTGGGGTGCCTCCAGGCACTTATCAGTGGAGCTAAAGAGCTTTGGAACACCTGCCCCAGTAAGGCAGATGCAGGTGGCAAGGCCCAAGGGTCTAAGAGGCCAAGGAACCAGAAAGCAGAAGCTGAAAAGACAAGGAACACAGGAAGCAGAGCTGCCTCAGTCTCAGGGTAGGGCCACATCTCTGATGTCTCAAAGGGTGGAATTGTCAGTCAGATGAACTAGGAGAATGGAGCTGCCCAAATTCGACGGACCAGTGTTGCTGTTCCAGCGGGCGTGGAAGGTGGAGCTAAAGCCCAGGGCGAGGGTCCTCCACTCAGAATCTGGAGAGTGTGGCTAATACCTAGAGTCTGGAGGGAAGGGCCAATGTATAAATGGTCTCAGAGAATAGAGGATTATCTTCAAGCCTTGAGGGCTAATGTAATGTGTTCTGCTGACTTTCTTGGTGCTTGTTATCCCTTCTTTCCCTCTAGTTTCTCGCATTTGTAATGGAAATGTCTACCTTGGGCCTGCCTGTTGCACCATTGTACTTTGAAAGCAGATAACTCGTATTCTAGATTTCACAGATGAAGAGGAATTTTTGGATTTTGGACTTGGAGTTGATTTAAGACTTTTGCTACGATATGATGGGATGAATGTGTTTTACATGTGGCAAGGACATGAATTTTGGGGGGCTAAAGGGTGGAATGTTATGGATTGAATTGTGTCTCTCAAAAATGTGTGTCAACTTGGCCAGGCCATGATTCCCAGTATTGTGTGGTTGTCCTCATTTTTTGACTGTAATTTTATGTTAAAGAGGATTAGGGTGGGATTGTAACACACTTACTAAGGTCACATCCCTGATCCAACGTGAAGGGAGTTTCTCTGGAGTGTGGCCTGCACCACCTTTTATCTCTTGTAAGAGAGAAAAGGGAAGGGAAACAAGCAGAGAGTGGGGGACCTCACAACACCAAGAAACCAGTGCCAGGAGCAGAGCATGTCCTTTGGACCCCGGGTTCCTGCGCGCAGAAGCTCCTAGTCTGAGGGAAGACTGATGACAGGGACCTTCCTCCAGAGCCAACAGAGAGAAAGCCTTCCCCTGGAGCTGACACCCTGAACTTGGACTTGTAGACTACTAGATTGTGAGAAAATAAATTTCTCTTTGTTAAAGCCATCCACTTGTGGTATTTCTGTTAGAGCAACACTAGATAACTAAGATAGCCTAGAAGGTGGAGCTGAAGCCCAGGACCAAGGGGCCTCCACCCAGAATTCAGGCAGCATGGCCAAAACCCAGAGTCTGGAGGGCAGGGCCATTGCCCAGATGGTCTCAGAGAACAGAGGATTATTTTCAAGCCTTAAGAACTAATGTAAATTGTTTGCTGGGTTTTCCCTTCTTTCCCTCCAATTTCTCCCATTTGTAGTGGAAATGTCTACCTTGTGCCAGTCATTTGTACTTTGGAAACAGATAGTTTGTATTCTAGATTTCACAAGTTCACAGATTAAGAGGAATTTTGCCCCCAGATTGAATACACCTAAAGTCTCACCCATATTTGATTTAGATGATTCAAAAGATGAGATTTTGGACTTGGAGTTGATTTAAGACTTTTGGGATAATGTGATGGGTGAATGTGTTTTGCATATGGGAAGGATATGAATTTTGAGGGTCCAAAGGGTAGAATGTTATGAATTGAATTGTGTTTCCCAAAAATATATGTTGTAAATCCTAACCTCTATGCTTGTGGTTATAATCGCATTTGAGAATTGGTTGTCTTTGTTATGTTAATGAGACAGGATTAGCATAGCGAAATAAGCAGAGATTCTTCCAAAGAGTCTAGTATGCAAAGGGGGAGAAAGAATAATTTTGCAGTGGAGAAATCTGACAAACTCTTTCTCATCCAGGTGATCAAGGTCAACATCAACAGTCATAATCAGGTTGATAGTATGTTCTGCTGATAAGAGATGTGATGAAAATGGCATTTTTCCTCTGGGATTTTTCTCCCCAAAACCCCCAATCAAGAGAAAAACATGAAAGAAATTCCAAGAAAGTGGTATTCTACAATATACCTGACTGATACTCCTCAAAACCCTCAAGGTCTTTAAAAACAAGGAAAGTCTGAGAAACTGTCATAGGCAAGAGGAAACTAAGAAGACATGACAACTACATGTAATGTGGTATCCCTGGATGGAATCCTGAAACAGAAAAAGGACATTCAGTAAAAAACTAAGGAAATCTGAATAAACTCTAGAATTCAGTTAATAATAATGTATCAGCAATTGGTTCAATAATTGTAACAAATGTACAATACTAATATAAGATACTAATAATAAGGAAAACTGTGTAGGAGGGTATGTGGGAACTCTGTACTTTCTGCTCAAGATTTCTGTAAATCTAAAACCGTTCTAAAAAATGAAAAATATGCAGTGGAACTCACTTTCGTGTCTTTTTTTGGTTGAGTTTTTCTGGTTTTTTTTTTTTTTTGAGAAGTGGTTTATATTTACCTGTTGAGCTTTATTATGATAGAAGATAAAGGAACTTCTATCACGATAGGAGAAATTTAAAACTTTGGAGAAGACAAAATTGTGATTGCTTAAATTTTTCATATCATGCTAGAACATTTTCTAATGAGCCAATGAATTAAAGTGAAACTTTGTTCCAGAGATACTTGGCAAATATAACTTTGTTATCTTGGTATATCTGAACAACTAACAGCAAGTAAGGGTGCAATGAATTTTATAGCCCTGCAAGGTTAACGAATGCTTAACTTGCACAAACATTTAACAGAATTTTATAACCATAAAGAAACTTAACTGTTAAGGTGTCATAGCTTAGCAGATCTGCTAACAAGTCTTGCCCGTAAAACTTAGGAATACACAGAAAAGCTCAGAGGAAAAAAACAAAATCCCGTCATCATCGTACAACCCTAAAATAATTCCAGGACTTTTAAAATGCCCACCACAGCTGCTTGTCAAAAACAAGGATATGGGCAAAAGGCTGTATGTATTAAACTGCTCACAGGAAAATCACCACCTCTTCCAAGGACCTTAGCCCAACACCCATGCTGGAATCAGTTTCCTGTAAGACTGGAGGTGCTAAAAGCCTCATTTCCTCATCTATAAAATGGAAATGAATCCATGGGGTTATTGGGAGGTTGTTTTAAGGTTCAGCCATGTCATAGCACGTACCAGAACTTCATTTCTCCTCATGGCTGAATAATACTCCATTGTATAGAATACTAATGTTACAAATTGAATTATGTTCTCCCCAAATATGTTTTAAATCCTAATCCCTATACCGGTGGTTATAATTCCATTTGGGAATAGGTTTTCTTTGTATGTTAAAGAGACCATATCAGTGTAGGGCGTGTTTTAATCCAATTACCTTTGAGATGTAAAACGAGCAGATTAGGACAGTGAAGCAAGCAGAGGGAGAGGACAGATGCCATGCAACATGAAGATCACCAAAGAGCCAAGGAATAAGGACCTTCTCCCAGAGCGAACAGAGATAAAGCCTTCCCCTAGAGTAGGCACCCTGAATTCAGACTCCTAGCCTCCTAAACTGTAAGAAAATAAATTTCTGTGTGTAAAAGTCACCCACTTGTGGTACTTCTGTTATGGCAGCACTAGATAACTAAGACAATTTAGAAACGTTTAAAAACGTTACTGCCAAAAAACACTACAAATAGAAATCTTAAAAAGCAGGCAATAACATAGAATAAAATGATTGTGACAAATATGACAAAGGGTCAGTTGTCTTACCAACCAATAAGAAAAAAACCACCAACACTCAAAAGAGACAAGTGAGCAAAGCACACAATGACAAAAGAAACTATTCAATCATTAGTGATCGAAGAAATGCAAATTTAAATAACTGGATGCCATTTTTCTCCTATCAGATTGGTGAAGGCCCAACTCTGAATTTTTTTTTTTAATGATTTATTTTATTTTTGTCGTTGTTGAGAATACACACAGCAGAACATACACCAATTCAATATTTTCTACATGTGAATTCAGTGACGTTGATTACATTCTTCAAGTTGTGCAGCCATTCTTACCCTCCTTTTCTGAGTTGTTCCTCTCCCATTAACATAAATTCACTGCCCCCTAAGGTTCCCATATAATCTTTTGAGTTGCTGTTGTCAATTTGATCCTATACAGATAGATCTTAAAAGAAAACAATGCTCAAGGCAAACGTTCTTTACTAGCTAAGCTAAACTACTGTTGGGTTTTAAGAAGACTTCAGAGGGATATTTTTAGTTTAAAGTTTAAAGATAATTTCAGGGCAATAGTTTCAGGGGTTCGTCCAGCCTCCATGGCTCCAGAAAGCCTAGATTCCATAAGAGTTTGAAAATCCATTTTGTCTTTCCTCCCCTTTTGATCAGGGTTCTTCTATAGAATCTTTGATCAAAATGTAGAGTAATGGTAGCCAGGAAATATCTTTTTTTTCCTTATTTTGCTATTTCTTATTTTCTTATTTTGCTATCTCAACCATTTTTATGTGTACAATTCAAAGATGTTAATTACATTCCCCATGTTGTACAACAATCACCACTCTGTGTTACCAAATTTTTTCATCACCTTTAACTACCACTTAAGCAATACCTCCTCATTTCCCCCTCCAACCCACACTGCTGACCACTAATAAACTTTGATCTCCATGCATTTGCCTATTCAGGACAGTTCATATAAATGCAATCATACATTATTTGTCTTTTTGTGTGTGTGACTTATTTTGCTCAGCATAATATTTTTTTTTAATTTTTTATTGTTCTTTAGATGAAGGTTTACAGAACAAATAGTTTCTCATTAAACAGTCAGTACACGTACTGTTTTATGACATTGGTTAAGAACCCCACGACGTGTCAACATTCTCCCTTCTCGACCTTGAGGACCTTTTTTTGGTGAAAATATACATAGCCAAAGTTACACCATTTCGAAAGTTTCTACATGTACAATTCAGTGGCATCTATTACATTCTTCCAGCTGTGCTGCTATTCTATCCTTTTCCAAATTATTCCATCACCATTATCTTCAACTCACTGTCCCCTAGGCTTCCCATCAAACCTTTTGAGTTGCTGTTGTCAATGTGATCTACGTAGATAATTCTTTTTTTTTTGTACCTTACATGAAGGTTTGCAGACCAAATAGTTTCTCATTAAACAGTTAGTACACATATTGCCCTATGACAATGGTTAACAACCCCATGACATGTCAACACTGTCCCTTTTGAAACTTGGGTTCCCTATCACCAGCTTTCCTGTCCCCTCCTGCCTTCTAGTCCGTGTCCGTGGACTGCTGTGCCTCATTAGACCTGTTTTATGAGGCTGTCCAATCCCTGGCTGAACGGTGAAGGTGAATTTCGGGAGGGGCTTCATCACTGAGCTAAAAAGGTATCCAGGGGCCATACTCTCGGCCTTTCTCCAGTCTGCCAGGCCAGTAAATCTGGTCTTTTTTTTGTGAGTTAGAATTCTGTTCTACATCCTTTTCCAGCTCTGTCCAGGACCCTCTATTGTGATCCCGGTCAGAGCAGTCACTAGTGGTAGCCGGGCACCATCTAGCTGTATTGGACTCAATCTGGTGGAGGCCATGGTAGCTGTAGTCCGTTAGTCCTTTGGACTAATCTTTTCCTTGTATCTTGTTCTCTTTGTTCTCCCTTGCTCCTGAAGGGGTGATACCAGTTGAGTATCTTAGGTGGCTGCTCACAGGCTTCTAAGATCCCAGACACTACTCACCAAGGTAGAAGGTAGAACATTGTCTTCATAAACTGTGTTATGCCAATTGAGCTAGATGTTCCCCAAGACCATTGTCCCCACAGCCCTCCACCCAGCAATTCAGTCCCTCAGGGAGTTTGGAAGTGTCTGTGGAGCTTCCATGACCTTTCCTTGTACAAGTTGTTCTGGCTTCCCGAGTAATGTATACTGTGATACCCTTCACCAAAGTTACCACTTATCTATTTAGTTCCCCGCCCCATCTGTCCCATCCCTCGTAACCAACAAAAATTGTTTCTTTTTTTTTTTTTTTATTGTACTTCAGGTGAAGGCTTACAGAACAAATAGTTTCTCATGAAACAGTAGTACACATGTTGTTTTATGACATTGGTTAACAACCCCA